AATTAATTAAAGTTCAAAGTTTGTGCAATATTAAGGTTTACTATTAAAATTTTTTTAAGTTTTTTAAAATTTTATATATTCCTAAAGCTAAAAAAAATTTCACTCTTAAGACAAATATTAATTTTTACAAGTAAATTATAGATTTATAATAATTAAAATTAGAAAAAAATTATTAATCACCTAGATAAATTATTCACCCCTATGTAATATATGATTATCAATTATATTTATAACCTATATTTATAATACATATATATATATATATACATAATTTTAACTATATATTATACTATACATTTACTATTTAAATATCGATATGTAAATTATTGAATACTTTGACACCTTGACCCACCTTTATTACTATCATAATATTAACTTATCGCTCCTATTCACTATAGTTTTCAACCCATTATTATTATTTTTTTTTTGGTTCTTCGACCTATTTTTTTGGTCTTTCGACCTATTTTTTTTAACTTGCATTATCATAATCTTTGTTGCACTTTGGTTCTTTGACTTAGCTTTTTTTTAAATTGTTACAATTTGGTTCTTGGACCTTTTTTACATTTTTTTAACTTACATTATTATAATCTTTGTTGCACTTTAGTCCTTTGATCTGGCTTTTTTTTTATCATTACAATCTGGTTCTTAGACCTTTTTACTTTTTTTCTAACTTATTGTATTTATTAACTTACTTTATTTCATTATCACTGGCTCACTTTTTATTGTTATCATTATTATGTCTTCTAGTGAATCTTTCAATAGTACTGAAGTAGATGTAGATAAAGTAGATGATGAGTTAGATAATAAAATCATACTCACTGGTAAAGAAATACTAGATACAGAGTTTGAAAATTATGATAAAAACCTACTTTTAATTGATATCCCATTTGAGATAAAAGTAGGTACACAGTTTCTTTTCATGTTAGTTGCAGTTCATTTTGTTGAACAATATGCTTATCAAAAATGGTTTGCTGTTTTTAAGCATAAAAATGAAAAATTTAAGGACGGTATTTATAGAAAGAAGGTTCTTAAATATGATTTAAGAGGAAAATATAGTGAGAAGTTGTCAAAGCCAGCACTAGACAAACAAAAAAACAAAGGAAGTAAAAAGCAAGGATATATGTGGCAAATCAATATAACAAGATTACTAGGTTCATTAATAGCAACTATAATAACTTTTAAAAATAAATATAATTATGATATTTCGCTAAAACTTTAAGGTTTGCTATTGCTTATAAAATATTTACACTAGAAATTATAGAACAAATTGAGTTTATATAGTACATGGCTGATATAATATAACAACTATAAGAAACCTTCTTCAACCTCAATATCCTGATCATGTGTTTCTTACCCAAGATCTTGGAAATGCTATTCAAAAAATTAAATGAGAAAGAGGGCTAAATCTAAATGATACATTATCTCTATTAGCAAAACTTTTTGAACTTTAAGCAAATAATCTTGTATAGTTTGTAAAACTATTAATAGATGATACAAGTAATAGACTAATTAGAATTTTTTGGATATCATTAGAACAATACAAAAGATAGTTCAAATTTTATGATATTATCATTTATAATAATACTGCACAAACAAATAAGTATAATTATCCATTAAGTTTATTTATTTTGATTAATAATTATAATAAAAGTAGACTGGCAACTCAAGCATTCATACAAGATAAAAGACAAGAATCATATGAGTGGCTATTTTGGTATTGTCTTGATGCATGTAAGATTTCTTCTTTAACATTTGTAACTGATGCAGATCTAGCAATGATAGTAGCTGCTTCTATAGTATTTTTTAAATTCTATTATATACAGTATTTATACCATCTTTATCAAAATATTTTAAAAAATCTTTGCTTATATTTGGGCTCTCTTTATTAGGAATTCCTTAATGATAGGTGAAAGTATGTGTTAGAAGATTCAACAAATGTTTTAAAAAAATGTCTGCATATAATACTGTAGGTA